ACTGCTTCTATTTTCACTATAATAAAAAAATTTATTTACAAATTTATTAATTTATATTTTACAATTTATGTATAAAAATTTGTAGAAGAAATGAAAGGGACTAAGCAAAAGCTAAAATTCTTTTTTATTTTAATTTTTAATTTTTAAATTTTTTTCTTTGTACATGTTTATGACAGGATTTAATTTGTTGTTCCAATACATGCATATATTATAACTATCAGAATAGTTAACATATCTGTCACCTAAACATTTATCATTTCTTTGTGGTTATAACATTCAAGATAAAAGCTAAAATTCTTTAAGGCAGTGAGTTTGTATTTTATTTTTGTTTTAGAATTTTATTTAATATTTTTGCACTGAGTTTTTTAATTAAGGAAAAATTAGAGCCATGTGCATCTTTGGATATTAGGAATGATATCCAGCAAAAGTTGCCTCATATAAGCTGTAATTATCCTATATTTAATTTTTTTTATCCTTATCGTATTTACTTTTATGCATTAGATATCTGTTATTTCTGGCTGGCAAAATTCTATAGTTCTTTCAAGGTTCAGCTCTAATGTTACTCCTCCCCATGTGGGGATTCCTTCTTTAGGTTTCTGATAGTACACTTTGCGCATATATAAATATATAGTATTTTAGTGCCATTAGTTAGTTGTGTATGCATTAGACTTCACAGTAGCCTGGACCAATGGAGAAAATAGACTGTGGAGCTGTAACAACCTAGCTCCAAGTTCTGCTTCTGTCACTTACTAGTTTTATGACCATGATCATATTATTTAACCTCTATGAGCCTCAGTCCTCATCTCTAAATTGAGCCAGTACTACCTATCATATAAGATTGTTGTGAAAATTAAAGCAATGTATGTTAAAGAGACCATCACTCCCTGGTAGGTGTTCAGTAGTTCCTTCCCTAGTTAAAAAGACTTGCATCATACCACTCCTTTCAAGTTACACACCTACTTTTTCTAGAACATATTGGCTCTCTGAATCAGGAAGGATGAAGTTGATGGCTAAAAATGTCATTAAATTCTTTTATCTGTTATGTGACTAGGATTTTAATCAGCTTGCATTATTGACTTATTCAGATATCTTCTGCAATATTTAGGTAGCTTTTTTATTTGTATATTTTCCATACACATAAAACCTTGAGAGATTTCTTTGTTTNATTATTATTATTATTATTTACATTATACTAATATTTCTCAACCTTTTCTTTATTATAATACCCCAAGGAACATTTTTAGACATTTTTTCCTAATTACCCCCCTTCCCATGAAATTTTAATACCATAGATATAAGGTATCTGTTTAGGTACTGTATGTGTACCTGTGTTTTATACTTAAAACACAGGTGTTTTAGAAGAGTAAAATTTTGTCACCTCTCTCTTCAAAGAACCAGTTTTCACCCCCTTGGATCACTATCACCCCCATCAAGAATGCATGCATGAGACCTTTTAGACATGATTTGATCAAACAGATTAAGGTTTAGGGCTTGAGTTCTAATTGTATAACTCTGAGAATGAATTCTGGTTGGTCGGTTGATTAGCTGTGTGACCTTTTGTCAGTCTCTTAAGCTTTCTAAACCTATTCTTCATCTGTAAAATGGGAATACTAATATTATCATCCTCATAAGGATTAAATGAGGGTAGTTCATACAATACATTTAACATATATTAATTACTCAATTATATTAACTATTATTTTGTTATTATCTTAATGATCATAACTTCCATTCTCTTCATTTGGACTTACAGCCTGAGTGTCAAGAGATATCTAGATCTTCTCTTTTTCCATTTTTAGTACTGACTGCCTTTGGAGGTAAAAATGTAAGCTTTAGTAGTAACATGTGATAAAATACCCTCAGATCTCTCAGTAACTAAAAGCTAATCAGAAAGAAAAATTTCTTAGTGTATATGTAATTATATGCAGAGTATTATAACAACTTTATGTGGTAGCTTGAACTATAGGTTATTATTTCATTAAATAATTCTGGGTTCTATTTTTAGATATTTGATTTAATGGATGCCAAAGCACGTGCTGATTGCATCAAAGAAATAGATCTCCTTAAGGTAAATAATTAACTATTGACTATTGTAAACATTTAAACTTATTAAAATACCACACTTGTAAGCAAAACGATTTTTAAGTCTTAACTTATACCACACTGATTTCAAGTAACATTATGTAAGTTTGAATTTCAGCATATTGAAGAATAGATTCATTGTAAAATAATTCAATCAAAACATTTGGTAGGGTCAGTTTTTTTCTTTTCCCATTTCAAACTAGGAAATAAATAAGATGGGCATAAAACATTGAAGAATTTTTTTCTTGACCATCCCAACTAGACATATCCTAACAA